TGTAAACCCTAGAAATGGTTGTGCGTGAAAATCCCAGTAACTGAGCAGATTGTGAAATACTCAGACCGGCCCGTCTGGCACCAACAACCATGCCGCGCTCAAAATTGCTTAAATCGCTTTTCTTTCCCATTCTGACATTCAGTTTGGAGTTCAGGAGATTGTCTTGTCCAGGACCACACCCCTAAATGCATTGAAGCAACTGCCATGTGATGGTTGATTAGATAATTGCATTAATGAGAAATTGAACATGTGTTCCTAATAATCCTTTAGGTGAGTGTATATCAGCTGAAAAGCCAATTGAGTTATGTTTTTATGAATTCATCCAACATGGTTTGACACTGAAAATAAAAGTGCTTCAACTGTTCAACAAATAAAGAGCAGTATTGAAAAATGGGAGGAAAAATTAAGCAGATTTAAAGTTAGTGTCTTTTCAAAACCGTGTAAATGTTACGGTATCATGCCACAAAATTTTTTACTTAATGCAAATGCTGTCAAATGTTATCGCAAGGTTACTTTAGTTAGCTAGTTAAATTAACTATCTGCGTTAGTGTGTCGTGACACTGAACATGATTATATTCATGTTTCTTGTTTTATATTATAATGCAGCATCAGCCAAATAATAACCATCTTCAGAATTATATTTTTTCTGCTTTGTGTTTTACAGTCCAATTCATAAATATATTACTCGCTTTCAATATCTATTAAAAAAAATTGTAATATTATTCCTTGTAATTTCTTTGCGAAAGAACACTTGAATGGTTAGAGTTAGGGTCAAGGTTAGAGTGATCGTAACATTAATAACATAGTTGCAAAAAATATTTGTTGGAACAAAAATTGTATGCTTATTAATAATGGAATACTTCTGGCTTTTATTTTCTGTTTAAGAATGACTTTTTCATCAGTGAAACCTGATTGGCTCATCAACAGAGAAAGCCATGTAATATTGTGAAATGTGATTGGAGTTGTGAATCATGGAGTGGTAAAAAAAAAAAGTTCCCTCATGTGGCTTAAAGGTGTATTGAAACACAAACGACTATGGAAGAAATTCTGCAAATTTATTTGGCAACTCCTGTAACCCACCTGTGGGTCACAACCCAGTCTTTCATTCACAATTTTAAAGAATGCGATACAGCATACTGGCATTCTTGCTAGTGACCCCATAAACAGTAGGATTAGAAGGGAATAAGTTTTCAGGAACCATAAAGATTATTTTTTACATTTTTTTACATTTTTACTTGCTGTTTTTCATTATATGTACAGGTTTTTACGTTGTTTGTTTTGCCTTATATGTTTCTTGATCTCTATATACTAGAAGTGTAACAGTACACGTATAAGTACCGAAAATTTTCCCTACGGGTCTTTTGGTTCAGTATGCAAATATACTGAACAAATGCAGCAAATGCGTAACCTTTGTGTGTTTCCACCAAGCAACATTCGGAAATGGGGCGGATGAAGCCACACCACTGCGGATGTGCGTGTACGTACTAATGTCAAGCTGTTAATGTCAATACAAGTACAGTACAAGCTGAGTTGCCAGGTCTGCGGTTTTCCCGCCCAATTGGGCTATTTTGAAAATTCAGTTATAGCTAAATAGGAGGATGCGGATTACGGGTTTTTGGGCTGTTTTCATAATGTTACGCAGCAGCAGACTGTAAGGGGGAAAAGAAATTAATCATTATGAATGCAAGTGGCTGCTAATCCTGAATAATACTGAATTTCTAGACAATGAAAGCAGGGTTGCCAACACCCATTCAGTCTCTCACACAAGCAAATCTATGTTCCATTATAAGCCTAAAATTAGCAACATCAGAAGCATTGGAGTAGTTTGCAAATGCTGCAGACTATTTACAAGGAAATAAAACTGTTACATACATGTAAATGTGTGTGCAGACTAGTCTCGAATTGAAAATTTCTTTCCAGGCAACTAACCAAAGTTGACAACCCAGGGAAAACAGTGTATCCGTCTATGTGACATCATTGTGTTTAACTGTGTTGAACATTTGAATGTGATTAGCGTGCAAAATACCTGTTTTATTTCTTTGAGATACAGTGGACTGAGATTTCAAATATTGGGCTAGTTTAAGTTACTGTCGGGCGGATTTTAAGCAGATGTTGGGCTGGAGATTTTTGCTGGACCTGGCAACACTGAGCACAAGTATTTTTTAAATGCTGCACCATAATGGATATTTATTTTGTTATGCTTCGTATTTTTGAGACAATATTTGTGTTGCACAGTTCTAATATGAAGCTGAAGGCTGCTAATGTGAATATAGTACAGATCAAGTACAATTCATTTTCTAATTGTGCATCTTAATGGATTTGTATTTTATTTTTATTTACTTGAGAGAATATATAGATTTAGTTTTAAGTAAATTTTAGTTTTTTATTAGTAGGTTGCACCAGTATTGACAGAGGCTTTTTATTTAAGAAAGACAGTCATACTTTGTTCAGTAAACCACTGTTTAATAAAGAAAAAAGAAGCTAGTTATGTTTTGTTTTACCTTGCTGTACCAAGAGCCATTCTTTTACAGTTATGTGCTGATGAGTTAGGGAGACCGACTGCTAAAACCACATGATATCCCATATCCTATCTAGTTTCTAGTGATGTCTATATTAATATCTATATTTTAAAGTGATTGATATGTTCAAATTAAATTAGTTCTAGTTTGTGATAATTAATTGTTCACTGTTTTGCTTTAAGTGCTTATTTTCTTTATCTATATCTAACCAGAAGTGGGTGGCCACTAGGGGAAGCTGTTTTTACAGTAATACCATGATTTTCCTGACCTTACTCTATCCTCACACTTACTCTCTCCGTGTTTGCAGTGTATCCCCTGGTGTGTCAGTGAGCCCGGTGCTCCTAAATGTACCCACAACTAGTGTAGTGAGAGGGTGTTTCCTATGGCTGGAAATATTGTCAGCACAATGCGTTCGCGTTTACATCCCAGTGATGTCGACTTGAATATTTCTTTGTTTATGCCTTAATGTCTTAAGATGTTATTCATATTATTTATTTTAGATATTTTAGATGTCTAAATATGCCAACAAATATTTTTAGAGCTACTTTGTTCACAAGACCAAGTGTCCTACAGTTTACATTTCTTTGCTTTATTTCCACGATACCAGGTGTAGATCGTCATCCTTGTAATCTTTTTCTGAAGCAGTAATAAGATCAGATAAGATTTGGGGCAATCTGTCTAAGATCTTGACCAGTTCCACTTCATCATCCAGATCTTTTTTTATGGGCCCCCCTCTGGATCATCCTGCAGTGTTGGGGGGGAGGCGTGCCGGGTCGCTGCGGTGGGCAGCGGTCCGTCCTGCTGGGGGATGGGCTGGGGCCCCTCCAGTGTGTGGGGGGCCCCGGTTGGTGGGGCCCTTCGGCCCTGGACCCGCCTGCCTCGGTCACATTATTAATTATTATTATTCTCACTGATGTTGTTATAATTTTTGTTGTTTGATGAGTGTTATGTTTCTTATGGTTGTTTGTATTCTGTATTCCCCTATACTTCATCTTTTTTCCATCCCGCCTACATTATTAGTGTTATTATTTCTGTATACCCTTTTTTTTTTTTTCTCCCCCTCTCCCCATGGTGATTGATGTCTGTTATTGTTACGCTTGTTGTTTCTGTATCCCCCCGTTTTTTTTTTTTTTTTTTTTTTTTTTCCCGGGACGGGTGAGTTCGGAGTGGCCACACTCTTTGCTCTTGAATGTAATGTAAAATAAAGTTGTCCTCCGAAGAGCGGGGGTGGTGGTGGGCAATAAAAAAAACAAACAACAAAAAAGGGATATCGTAATATTATTTATTATCCCATTAAAATACAATGTTTAATTTTCTCCCAGATCAGCTTTGAAATCATCAGTATTTTCCCATCATGGATTTTGGTGTATTTTCCGTTTTACTGATGATGACCAGCCTGGCTCTACATAAAGGTAAGAAACTCAAATGTATATTAATAGGAAATCATTGCAGTTTTCCACTGCAATCTGCTTGTGGCTCCGTGGGAAGGGGTGTAGCCTCATGTATCCAGGTCTGGGCTTTAGTTCCTGTCCCTTTAGTGAATTTGCTGGTGTAACAATTGTTCAACAATGCAGCCATTAATTTCTGACTCTGTTCTCCGTCCACATGTCTTTCAGCTGGAAATGGTCCACACATCATTACAGATCCACATGTTAATGCCAACATGGGTGGTGAATTCACACTGAACTGTAGGCTGAGTCTGAGCAATATCAGCGTGTCACAGGTTGAGTGGTCATGGGGATCATCAGAGAAGCCTGAAGAAAAAATTGTTGTTTTTAACAAACAGTTTGGGACAAAATACCTGAGTCCCAAATTCGGTGGCAGAGTAACTTTCTTCAATCATTCCCAGCATCATGTGTCCATCCAAGTCTCAGACGTGATGATGAATGACACTGGGAACTACACCTGTCAGTACACCACCTTCCCCAGCGGCATCTTTCAAGCGACCACCACAGTCACTGTAACAGGTAAGAGCAGAGATGTTATGCTGAATGGTTTGCATGCTTTACTAACTAATACAGAAACACACAGAAGTAAAATTAGCTCTTAATACAATAAACAACTCCTATGAAAATTATACATATAACAGATGTATTCTTAAGAAAACCAGTGTCAGTATGTGCCATAATCCCCTTAATATTCGGTTGTAGTATGACAGTGTTATATACTACATAGTCACTGTATTTCAGCATGTTTTACTGTGTAGCTGAGTTCTGCTGAGACGGTCTCACACTTCACAGAGCCCCCCCATGGATCTTCCCTTTGGATTGTGGGAACTGTCATGGCTGCCCTGCTGTTCACAGTGCTGCTGACTGCCGCTGTGTATTTCACCCTAAAACAGTATGTACGCTTCATTATGAGATAATCTGAAGGCCGGCGGTGTATTTTTACACAGATGTTAATCCCAAGTCAATTGTTAACATGTAAAACCAGGTTAGTCATGCATATCCTGGGGCAAGGTGCAGTCAGATGTCCAGCGAGCCCCTTCAGTTCACCTGTTACTTGTTCCCAGATCTTATGTAAGAGCTTCCTTTTCTCTTACAATATAAACAAATTCAGACCCTCCAGTCCTCGGTTGCAGCTCCTCCATAGCCCAACACGTTTTTAGTTTTTAAGCAAACCCCCCTTATGCAGGGTACCTTTGTTTTTTTTTTTCCTCAAGTCTGTTTTGTTAACCCAATCTCCACCTCGGTCAACATAAAGTCCCCATTTCCTGCTCTCCTCCCCACATCATGTGGTCCTGTCTGCAGGATGATTATGAAACACACAGGATGAGCTGCCATCTGAAAAACATATAAAAATAAAAAAGTACAAACACATCCTCTGATCTATATAAACATGATAAAGTATTTTAGAAATTCACATTCAAACAGTAGACATGGTTGCTGTAGCAATGATTTGGTGTTACAAGAACACAGAGGTTAAAACATTGGATAAATTCTGCTAATATGCTGACTTTACCATTTTATTTTACCACAGTGCCCAGAAAAAGACCAGTGCAAGAAGCCGTAAGTCACCGCTGATCTTATTGCCTCACCATTTTGTTGCCACAAATCCACTTCTCAAAAAAAGTAATTCAGATGACATGGCCTATCATTCTGCTTAACTCATTCCATTTCAGGCTCAGATCAGACTATCAATGATCAAGATAAGGTACGTATCTAGGTTGTGGCATCTTGAATTAAGTTGGGTTAAAATGTAACAGAAAACTTTCAAATCCCCATAACACTGGGAAGTCCATTTAAATTCATTTTTCTAGTATGCAAGCAGAATGTTCAGCATTAAAGGTGCTACATGTGGATCCCATTTGCTTTATGGTAATTTATGTGTGGATGTTACATTTCTGAACGTTTCTGATTGGCAAAGAATGACATTTTTTCCCCAGGATTTAAACTATGCCAAAATAGGTTTCTTCAGGAAAGCAGGCAGCACAATGGTTCCCCAGTCCAAATCAGACGTAGAGTACGGGGAAGTGATCTTTCCCAGCCAAGCGTCGAGCGCCCATTCTCCTGTAGGCTGACCGAATGTGGACAGGGACACAAGTTACGCCAAGGTCAAGAGGGTCTAACTACTCTGGACTGAGCTCTGATGCTTCATTACACGTGACATTTGTTCATTAAGTAAAGTGTTCTATTAACTGCCAGATGTTAGTGTTGTTCACTTGTGCCCCTATTGCTGTTAGACAGGTTCGGCCTGCGTGTGGTATGATAATACCAGTGAATAAATGCTGTGCAGAACAGACTGCTGTGTTCAATCGCCTATTTGCACACTTTTGTCACATTCTCAACTACATACTGTACATACACACAATCAGCTCATTTGCATACTGCAAACCAGGGGTGCCTTTCCCAAACAACGACGGAAGTTAGCATTAACGATGCATCGTACTATGGTAGTTCAAACTAACCAACATCCGAAGTACGACTGTTTCCCAAAACCGTCGTACCACAGTAGTTTGAATGACGTTAGTTAGTTGGGACTTCCGTAGTTCGAACTACAGTGGTTCCAGCGCTGATTGGTCAGACTCACGGCAAACCTACAGTAGTTCGAACTACAATGGTTCCAGCGCTGATTGGTCAGACTCATGGCGAGTCGTGCGCAACAACTAACAAACTACTTTCACAGCCGGTTGCGTACAAATACACAGTCATGTAATATCATATAAATATATAATAATCACACACACACACACACATATATATATATATATATATATATATATATATATATATACATATACTCACCTAAAGGATTATTTGGAACACCATACTAATACGGTGTTTGACCCCCTTTTGCCTTCAGAACTGCCTTAATTCTACGTGGCATTGATTCAACAA